TGAAAGCCCAATGTTTGGCTGATTTCATAGTCAAGCTTACTCTAACACTAGAAGTAGAAGAGTAATGTTGGACCCTACATGTAGGCGGATCCTCCAACTGTTGAGCTTAGAGGAGTTTGAAGCTTGAAGGAGTTTTGATGATCACAAAATGTGTGTCAAGGGCAACAACAAACAACAACTTAGAAGACAAAAACAAAGTCAGAAAATACTATGTAATAGGAATTAGTGTATAAATTGTTTTGAATGATTTTATATGTTGTGTGTGTTGTGTGCATAAACAAAATCTATATCTAAACTAATTAGAGAGTGTATGATGATGAGTTAAAAAGACTAAAAAGTTATTTTGAGACTTAAAATGAAGTTTTGAAAACTAACTCAAAATAATCGATTATCATTAAATATAATCGATTATTCCAGCAACAGGCAAAATGGGATGCCTTGCTGTAATAATCGATTATTTGCCAAATAATTGATTATCCCAGAAATAACTCTCTGGAATAATCGATTATCCAGCAAAATAATCGATTATATTGTTCTTGGTTGGTTTCCAGAAAACCTAAAGAACAAAATAATCGATTATTCTTTAAAATAATTGATTATCTGGGTCTGAGACTTTTATAAATAGTTTGAACTTTTAGAAACTTCAGACATGAGTTAGAACTGATAATCAAATTTAGAAAAGCGTTTTTGTGGAGTCTTTGTGACAATCTTGGAGAGTTTTCTTTGTGAATCCAAGAAGAAAAATGTTTTTGAAAAACTTTGAGAAAGGATCGTCATCATCATCACATTCTTGAAAGAGGAAGATTAAGATTTGCTTCTGAATTCCAGGTGAATTCATTCCTTTATTCTGTGTGAATACTTGTAAAATCTTGAGAAGGGTTTCTCAAGTGGTAAGGTTTCTTGTAGTGGATTTCTACAAGGGGTGCTTTCTTGGGGTCAAGAAAGTGGTTATCTTTAGTGTTGAAGTATATGCATGTGTTGTACGCTTGTAAACCTTCTTCATTGAAATAGTGGAACAAATCTTGATCAGGTGCTGATTGAGAACTGGATGTAGGTCACATGTGGAGTGGTTGAACTAGTATAAAAGACTTGTACAATCTTCTTCTACCTTTATCTATTACTTTGAGTAATATCTTGGTTGAACATTAAAGAAGATAATTCTTGATTAACTTGTGTGTGAATATTGATGGTTTAATCTGAATTAAAGCATTACATTTGAACCTCATTATTTTGTAATCAAGAAAGCATATAGCATTCATACTTCTATAAACAAGTCTTGGAAGAAACTTCATTGAAAATTCAGTCTTAGAAAAGTTTAAGTGAAATAAAGATCCTAAATACTCTAAAAAATTTTAAAAGGTCATAGAATCCAATTCACCCCCCTCTTGGATTGTGCCATTCTTTTCTAACACCAACACCAAAGGAAGTGGCACTGGAATTATACTAAAGGGGCCCAATAATATGACACTCGAACAATCTTTGGAGTTCAAGTTCAAAGCCACCAACAATCAAGTAGAATATGAGACATTGCAAGAAAGCTTGAGGTTAGCTGGGGATGTCGGCGCAAAAAAGATAGGATGAAACAGTGACTTGAAACTGATGGTAGAATAGCTCAGGGAAGTCTACCAAACCAAATACCCCCTATTGCAAAGGTACTACCTCATGACATCTCAGTCAATATCACATTTTGAGGAATTCACGATACATCATGTACCCTAAGAACAAAATGGTAAGGCCAACCTCTTATCTAAGCTCGCTAGCACGAAAATGACTGGGTCAACACAAGACCATCATCCAGGAAATGATCAACTCACCCAACGTCAAACCCAAGGTCATTTCCACCAATGAAGTTGAGGACAGGGAATGGATGACCAATATTTAGAACTACCTCCAGGATGGCACACTACCCAATGAAAAAGCTAAACCTAAGCAAATTAGGATCAAGTCGTCCCAATTTATCATCGAGTCTAGCAAGCTCTTCAAAAGGGGAATCTCAATCCCACTACTGAAATGCCTCACACAATCCCAAGCCAGGTACATGATCAAAGAGATCCACACAGGTATATGTGGTATGCACTCTAGTGCGAGTTCCATGGCTGCTCGAGTAATCCGAGCTAGATATTAGTGAGCCACCCTAAAATCAGATTGTAAGTACTACATGCAAAAGTGTAGAGCTTGCCAGGAGTCCAACAATACACATCGGCTCCACTCGGAGGCTCTCCACCAAATGCAGTCCCCATGGCCTTTCGTATAATGGGGAATGAACATACTTATGCCATTTCCCCCTACAAGGGGCCAACTTAAGTTCCTAATTATAGCAGTCAACTATTTCACAAAGTGGATTGAAGCAAGTGCCCTGGCCAAGATCACTGCACAAAATGTGAAGAAGTTCATATGGAAGAATGTGATATGCCGATATAGCATACCACACACACTTGTCACTGACAATGGAAGGTAGTTTATTGACAAAAAGTTTGAAGACTTCCTATGTAACCTCGACATCAAACATCAAGTCACTTTGGTGGAGCACTCCTAAACCAACGGCCAAGCTGAGATCGTAAACAAGGTAATACTCCGATAATTGAAGAAAAGATTGGGACAAGCCAAAGGCAATGGGCAAACAAATTACCCAACATCCTCTAGGCATATCATTGCACCCTATAATCAACAACAAAAGAGACGCTATATAGGTTGACCTACGGATCTGACGTTATGATCCTTGTAGAGTTCAAAGAGTCATCTCACCAAAAACTCACCATCAATGAACCACAAAATAGTGTAGAAATGATGAACAACCTTGATCTCTTAGATGAAACCAGAGAAGATGCCCGAGTTAAAGAAGTAGCTTGCAAGCTCTGCACCTCCAGGAGGTATAACTCCAAGCTCAAACCATAAAGTTTCCAAGTAGGAGACCTCATTTGGCAACTCATAGGAGACACAAGGAAAAACTCCACAAAAAGGAAGCTTGCAACTAATTGGGAAAGACCTTTCTGAGTCATCGAGGACTTGGAGAATGGTGCATATTGGCTAGAGGAGTTGAATGGCACAACCCTCCTAAGAACATGAAATGCCACTCACCTCAAATTTTATTTCAGTAGCCATTTGTAAAACTTATGTGATGTACTTTTTTTCTTACCTTAGTTTTTTTTCCAATAAAAGAAGGTTTTGATTGAGGAGGTTTTAATGAGGCCTATTTTCGCTACCACCTGACCAAACACGGAACCCAAAAAAAAGACAATAGTTGGTTGAATTTGAACCAAAAATCCATATCAGACCGAGTTTGAAGTCGAGTATGGAGTCTCGTGCACATAAGTGCAGATGTCAAAATCGATAACTTCGTAAATAAATCGACTTAAATGGTTGAGTTTGAAGCCATATATGCAACTTATAAAAGTAGACAAATTTGAAACAACACGAGCAATGGTTGGTCGAGTTTGACACAAAACCAAAAACCCACACCTGTTAGAAAAGAATGGCCTAATCCAAGAGGGGGGGTGAATTGGATTCAATAACCCTTTAAAAATTTTATCAGAGTTTCTGGATCTTCACATTCAATTAAAACTTTTCTATGACAGAATTCTCACTTGAAGCACTTCTCAAGACTTGTTATGATAATATGAATGCAATATGCTAACTTGATTACAACATTATGAGGTTCATTAACAATGTTCAATTTACAGATTTAAAACATCAAGAATTACATTCACTTGTTAATCAAATTTTATCTTCCTTAGAAACTCAACCAAGTAATTGCAAAACAAGAGATAAGGTTGAAGAAGATTGCACAAGTCTTTTATACTGGTTCAGTCACTCCACATGTGACCTACATCCAGTCCTTAATCACCACCTGATTAAGATTTTTCCACTATCTTTAAGCAAGAAGGTTTACAAGCAAACACACATGCATATACTTCACTACTAAAAGATAATCACTTTCTTGACCCCAAGAAAGTACCCCTTGTAGATCCCACTACAAGAACCTTAATCACTTGAGAAACCCTTCTCAAGATTTTCCACAAAGATTCACAAAGAAACAAAAATGAAACGAATTCACCTGGAATTCTTGAACAATTCTTTGTCCTTCTCTTTCAAGAGTATGATGATGATGATGATTTTCACAAGTTCTTTCACAAATGTTTTTCTTCTTGGAATTTCACAAAGAAACCTTTCCAAGATGTCACACAGACTCTCTAAAGTGTTTTTAGAAGTTGATTATCAGTTCTCACTCAATTGTCTTATGTTTCAAAATAGTTCAAGTCTATTTATAAAAGTTCAAACCCAGATAATCGATTATTTTAAAGAATAATCGATTATTTTGTTCTTCAGATTTATGGAAATCAACCAAGAACAATTTAATCGATTATTTAGCTGGATAATCGATTATTCCAGAGAGTTGTTTCTGAAATAATCGATTATTTTGGCAAATAATCGATTATTACAGCAAGGCATTCCACTTAGCCCATTTGCTGAAATAATCGATTATTTTTAACAATAATCGATTATTTTGAGTCAGTTCTTAAAACTTCATTTTAAGTCTCAAAATAATTTTCCAATGTTCTCAACTCATCATCATCTACTCCCTACTTGATTTTAGACAAGATTTGCTCAATGCACAAAGCACACACACAAGTACAAATATAACAATTCATTTATAACACTCTATTTCCTAAACACTATTACATAGCTATACTTCAAAGCATTTTTCTTGACTCTTCCTTGACTTTGTTTTTGTGTTCAATGTTGTTGTTGTACACACTTGTTGTCTCCAAGTTGTTGTGATCATCAAAACTCTTTTAGTCTTCAGCTCTCCTAAGCTCAACAACACCTTGGTCAAATTCAAAGCCATGCAACACAAATCCTACATAGCTAATTACAAACTCAAATTGAAATATTTCCTAGTACGAATAAATCAGCGTTGAGATCGAGCACCACCAAAAAGAAATAAAAAAAAGTACAAAGTGCACGAGTTTGAAAAACAAAAAGAAAAGGCACTTGGAGAATGATAAAGTATTCATTATAAAATAATTCGATAAAGGCTACACAACTTAGACAAAAAAGCAGAAAAAAGGACAAAAGACAAAACAAGCACAAAAGAAAAAAGCCTATAAAAAATAAATAGAGAAATATGTAGAAACTTTATTTGCTTGTGCTATCAAATAGGTCATCCTCATTCACCAACTTCAACTTGCCTTATCGGACGTCTTTGTCAATGTCCAAAGCCGAGATGTAGATCCCAAGAGCCACTATCAAATAGGTCATCCTCATTCACCAACTTCAACTTGCCTTATCGGACGTCTTTGTCAATGTCCAAAGCCGAGATGTAGATCCCAAGAGCCACCACCTTCATCTGACGAATGGCTTTGAAGAAACCCCTCTTATGCTCAATCATAATTTGGAGTTGAGTGTCCTAAAGCTCTTTAGCCACACCTTTCTTTGTCGTGCTCAATACCTCAGATTCCATCTTCAGGTCAACGGTCTCCTTGGCTTTAACATAAAGAAGATCTTGATTGCTCTTATGCCTCTCCTCGATAGCCTTCAACTTCTCCTCCAAGGCTCTCACCTACTCCTCATAGGAACGAGCTTGAGACCTGGAACCCTCAACTTCCAGCTCTACAGCTTTCACCTTTCCAAGCAGATCTCTGACCTTAGCAACATAGGCCTTATTCGCCTTGGTCATAACAAAGAAAGACTTCTTGGTCTTTTCTAGGTCATTCTTCACCTCTACCATCACTGCCTTGTTCTTCTTGGCCTTTTCAAGCTCTATCACATTCTTCTTCCACTTCCACTTCTAGTGAACCACAATAGAATTGAACCTCTGCATAAAAAACTTGACAAAATCCAGCCCCTCTATTAGGCCAACCTTCTCGATTATGACCTTATCATCAATAAAGGTAGGATCCTCTCGGTAAAAGCTTTCGACAGTGAGATTACGATTCCACAATGAAGTCACGTTAAGGGACATGCTCACATGGTCCAACCTAGCTAGAGGACGACTCGTGTCGAACCTCTGAAATATACATCGTGACTAAAAGGAAGACTTGATACTAGCACTTGGTGGAGGAATAGAGAAAGAGGGACCCTTTGGGTCAGCCTCAACGACCACAACTGCATCAGATGAAATTGGAGTAACAACCTGCTACACAAAAACAACAATAGCGAATGAACCAAGGCAAAAACCAACAATATTACAAGATACTCGCACAAATAAACAACTACATACCTCTTGAACGTGAGGCATAACTGGTGGCACTTCTAGATGATCACCTTCAATGGAGGGATCGGGAGACGAGCTTAGCAGAACTTGGGGGCTAGAGGTGAGGTCTATGGCCTCATGCAAAGCGGAAACCCCAAAAGTCAAGCCCTAATCAGTCTCAGGAGACTTCTTATTCCATTTATGTCGAGGACAAAGACTGCTTTGATCCTCCTCAACATCAAGGATCTCCTACTCCTCGGTGTTGAACTTAGTTTTCAGCTCGCGCCACTTACTATTCCGATATGCAAATAGAAAACATTACACAAGAAGTGTTATTAGAAAAACATAACTCTCCTACAACAAAGTCAACCAAACACATCGGTAAATACTTACTTTCTAGACTCTTCTCCTTATTCTTCGAGCTATAAAAAGAAAGGATGCCTTTACTCTCTAAAGGCTAAGGCAATGATTGCAACTTGTCTATGTCCTCCTCGTCAACAATAGTCAATACAAGATCATCGAAATTGGTAAACTCCAGAGGATCTTGCTGCTAGTAAAAGGGGAACCTCAGGTCCTCGCCAAGATGAAAGAGGTGCTTGGACGGAAGGTTAGTACAAATAGGCCAGATCTTAAAAAGCACTTCCTTGAAATTTTTATACAACTGGGAAAAGAGTTGGAAAAGCCCCCCTTGGAACTACCACTCTAAGAGACCCATCCAAGAGGTGGATCCCGATTTTTAACTGATAGAAATGCATAAGTTTAGCCAAAGAGATCATTACCCCAAAAATTGAGCATAGGACCTGAAAAGCTTGGAGGAAACCCAAACTATTTGAGTGAAGCTAACAAGGGGCCACATTAATGTGTTTAAGAAAGGCATACTCAAAAGAGGTGAAGGGGACAGAGACACCAATGTCTCTAAATAAACATTGGTACATGAAGAGAAATAGGGATGAAGGTGGACCCGAAATGAACACACTCATTAAATTGGCACGACTCGACCTTGATGAGGTTAGCAATAGAAGAAGAAAAAATCGCCAACTAACATCGAAGTAAGTTGGCCACAGGTATAGATGTAAACCTACTCTCAAACTTAACAAAGTCACCCCTCACCCACTCATACCTAGGGATAGAAATCAAGGGATTTGAATCCTTTCTATTATTCCCACCTTACTTTCTTTTTTTACCCTTACCCTCGCCATTACCCTTATGTTTCCCCTTATCTAGGAGCCCCGAATGGGGCAACCCTAGGGACCCATCATGAGCACGAGAATAACTAGACCCTACTCCCCCTCTAATAACACACAACTTTCAAGTAAATAAACAGAAGAGGAAAGGAAGTGATGCGAAAAAGTGGTACCCTGAAAGTTTAAGGTGGAACAAACAAGCTAACAACCTTTAGAACAACGACGTGAGCATAAGCACCAGAGAACACAAAGCTTGGACGAAAGAAAAGGGACACCAGAAGAAGAGTGAAAGACTAGAGACGTGCGAGGAGGAAGAAGCAAGACAACACTTAGGCAACATGAAAAATGAGTGAAAAGCGGGAAAAATTATAATAAAAAATGACAAAAGCCTCGAACCTGCCCCTCGCATTAAATAGGGACCATAATGACGAGCATAGCCCATCATTAAAAGGCCCAACCCATCATTAATGAGAGTCGCCTTTCGAGTATCGAAACACGCGCCATTTTAAAATAATGAACATCATTAGCACAATGTTTGATAAATGAAAGGACTCCACACTAGCAATGTGAAAAGTCACAACGTTTTTACACGACCCCTTAACAACTCTACGACTCTTGCATCATTTCAAGCTTGGGAGGCTAGTGTACCAATTCGGCCGAGAAAATAAGCTCGGCCAAATAAATAAGGAATCAAGACCACAAGTCAGACAATATAGTAATGACGTTGGCACATGATATCAGGTAAATGGGCCATGTCACCTAAAGACCTAGTCAAATAGTATAAGGTACGGTTACAATATCCATACTGTGAAGATCGTAACATTCGTAGATAAGATCATCCTATCTCTAAAAAGGTACATACATTATAAATAAGGAACATCTACATGATCAAAAACTAACTTAAGCATTGAAGTCTCTTTTGCAAGTACTCCCCCATCAGAAGAGATACATCATCAAGTAGAGCAGAAAGAAGCATATCGCCCATGAAAGTCGGTACAAAGGCTATCCTAGATGAGAACAAACCCTAAATCCTAAATCCTAAACATGAGAGTTGAAATGATACTGGTGTAACTTTTATCATTTATTACCGCTTAATAACTTTTAGTTAAATGTGAATTTTGTTGAGACACAAATACGCACCTACACACACGATACCAGTGTAATTTTTATCAATTAGTGTTCTTACCAGAATTTGGTCGTAGAGGTGATCCATCCAGTAAGATCGGTGAGCCTCCTTTGCTGATACGCTGGTACTCCAAGATGGGGGAGGTACCTGCAAAAGAGACTCCGATGCCAAAGTTAGTGTTTGTGGGAGTATGAATCTCGTATAAGTAATGCACGTACCTTAGTGTGAATTAGGGTTTCTTTGGGCCTTGGGCCTGAGATAAGATATGATAAGATTTTGAGGTAAGATATGATAAGATTAGATAAGGGATCTCTTCTGGAGCGAGATCCCTTGGGATCAGTTATGATCTACTT